TTAACTCTGATTTTTTTCTTCACAGATGCTGCCAGACCTGCTGAGCTTTTCCAGCAACTTTGTTTTAGTTCCTGAATTTTACGCAGTGTTTGGGATTTGGAATGCATTAAGAGTTTGGGAACAGATTCAAATAGGGCTTTTATAAGAGAAAGGAATATGAATCAAAGAAAACAAAATGGCAGGGGTTCAAGAAAAAAAGTTGGGAAGTGAAACTAGCTGAGTCACTCTTACAGTAGCCAACAGAGTGGATGAATAACCTCCTTCAGTTCTGTTACCATTCTGTGATTCAAGGATCTTTAGCTAGCCTTTTATTTCCCCAAAACATTAAGTATGCAACAGCATCATCAGCCTAAATTGTCAACACTTGGATCAGAAGGCTACTGGCCCCTGGCTAGTATAGATGGGAACAGAGGGGCTGACAAAATAGTGAGCAGCTACATTGAGCAGCCACATCAGAATGGATCCCCCTTTCTTTGTCCTCCATATTTCTTCTAATCCCACCATTGTTCATTTTGTATGTCAAAGAGAACGCTACCACATCTGTGTTGCTTTCAACTTAAAACAAAAGTATGCCAACACTGTAAAGGAGCAACATCACAAAATATACACAAAGGATCTAGTTTATTTATACAGAAGGCAAACAAAGTTGAAATGTACAATGGCTGTGAAATCCATCAATAAATTATACATTTTCAAAATTTCCTTTCAACTCCTATTTAAGAGAACAGTTTCACATGGCTTTGCTTTATTATAGACAGAAGTTTGAAGCTGGTACCTGTGTAACAGTTTGGGAAGTCTCTCAATGAATTTGAAAATTAGAAATTTAAAATTCTAGATCCAAAATATCTCAATTCTATATCATGACAAACTGAAACCATGATAACCATTGATTATTCAGCACTTTAAATCTCAATTCCATTACATTGTTACTCATGATTAACTATCCTTACTTGCAACAATGTAAAATCATATGAACATTATAAATATTTTACAGATGTACTTGGTAACGGTCATGTCTTTGGAATTTTATTCATTATATAACAAAATAGTTCCTTATATATCTGCCATCAGAAAGGATCATATGAAGATGGCTGTACAAAATTAAGTTTTCCTCTGACCTATTCTTTCTTATTTCCATTCTTACTCAATATGTTCAATGGCTATTTAATTTTGTTCTACCATAAAACAGACTGAAAATCACTGTTACTTAAATGTATTATACACGAAGTGAAAAAACAAAAGAACGAACCTGGAAGATGCTCTGTCTTCAATAATGACATTTCTTACCTGGACCAGATTCCATTCTTTAAGGGATTCAGCAATGATGGATGTAATAGATGGGCACACTCCACCAAATATCATCAGATGCTTAGGTCCATATTTAATGCCATCAAAGAAGGCTTTGAGTCCTTTAGCATTATCACACTGAAATAAACAGGAAAATGCATTCCATCACAACTCCAAAATGCAATTGAATACCATTGATAGTATTAAAAACAGAAATCAACAGATATGTAATGACTACAGCCTTAAACAAAATTCACTCGTGGCCAGTAGTCTTGTTTGTTTATGCAGAAGTCAATTAAATTTTCACCTGATGGTGATTGCAAAAGCTAACAGTAAAAGTATACATATTAAAACTTCTATTTCAAGTTTTATACAAGGAGGAGCTTTATTGGGTGCTGCTTTATTATAGATAGATTTTTGAATATAATACTCGTAACACACTGTGGTCCAGAAAATGAAGCCCCATCTAAGATTCCAGTGCATCCTAGTACTAGTTACGTTCAATGGCAGTAAAGAGATATTGGACTAGTTACCACTAATAGCATAAAAAAGTTTAAAATGAAATCTAAAGAGGGTCCTAGAATATCGCCTACTAACTTGGTAAGTTTCTTTGTACCAGTGCATTACACTTCAGCAGATGTAAAGCACAAGGCTATCTGTTTGAGGTCATAACACACCAATTTCCAGGATTCAATGTGTTGAATTTCACTCTCATTCATACAGCTAAAATTTCACATTCTATTGTGTTGCACTGGTACAATCCAGTTACATAATGCTTTTTGTGAAATAACTTTTTAAATTAATTGGTGAAATGGGATTGAGAGTGAAGGACTGAAATGTCATCTGATGGAGCAGCTGGCAATTTGTCTGCTAAATAGTAACACTTGAGGGTCAAAGTGCACAACTAGTTCTTCAATAACCGTCAAAACTCTTGAGGCATGATTGAGAACATTTATTTTCTCCACAGTATGGGGTAGCATGTGATAGCATTTGTATATTCAAGTTAATTTTGAAGTGCATAATTGAATAAACTCAAAAATATGGCTTGCAGCTGCAATTTACCATGTTTTTTGAGTTGTCTCTTTGACCCTATCATGTTATTAATAGGTGAGTTGGAGGATTCTAATCTATTCGATGGTGAAAGGACTTATATACACTTTTGCTATTTTGTTCATGATTTGTGGGCATTGCTAGATAGCCATCCTAATTGCACAGTGGATAATAAAGAGGCCAATATTTTCCTGTAGGTCTGGAGTCACAGATAGGCCAGACTAGACAAGTGCAGCAGATTTTCTTCCCTGCGGGACATCACTAAAACAAATGGATTTTTCTTCACGACATTCGATGGTGGTTATATGGCTGCCATTAGATCAGCTTTTAATTACATATTTTTAAAATTGAATTCAAATTTCATCATCTGCCATGATGGGATTCAAACCTGTTTGCCTGCTGTCCCGGATTACTAATCCAGTGACATTACAACTCTGCTAGCACCTCCCCAAATACAAATCGGCTGTGCAAATTCATACAGTATTATTTTTCTTTTTCTGTGAGCTATTTGAGATACTTTTCCATTAGTTTGAATGGACACATCTCAAACTGGATAGTTATCATAATTTATAAAATTCTATTCCATTGCTGCGAATGAAATTGAACCAGACAAGCAAATTGCATCATACATTAATGGTGTGAATTTCACACTGCTGAAGTCATTACTATTTAAAGAATATAACTGAGGTAAACTTCCAAAATACAGTGATAGGTACCTTTACAAAAAAAGGTCGTAATATGGAAAAGAATTATTAATTTCAAAAGACATAAATAATTAATGCCAGCTGGTATAGACTTGTAAAATTAGTTAAATAGAATTAATAATAAAAACAGAATTTCTTGAGGAAAGCAATGATGCATTTAGTAAAGAAATGCAACAGGTCTGCTATATGTGGATTTACAAAAGACATCTGTCAAGGCATCATGTATTGTTGATTTAAGATGCACGATATTATAGAGAATATCAAAGTATGCATAAGAAATTGGTTCAAGAAACAGACAGTGGTGTTTTACAGATAATTCTAAGATTTGTACATTTCCCTCCTGTTCAGTTTTGATTTACTGATATTTTACTTTGAGCCAATGAAGAAAGTGGTAGAATGAATTTAAAAGATAGAGAGGCATGACCGGAAATTAATAATAAAGTATTTCCTTGACAGCAAACCTCTGCTACAGAGCAGCAATGTTATCTAACTTTCTGTATGTACTGTAATTTATTTTTATAAATATATGAACTGGGAGCAGGAGCAGGTCACATGGACCCTTGACACTGCCCTGCCATTCAGGAAAATCATGGCTAATCTGACTACTCCACATTTCGGCTTCCACCTGACAACCTTTCACCTCCTTTCTCATCCAGAACTTATCTACCCATGCTTTAAAGCATTCGAAGTCTCTACTTCCACTGTCTTTTGAGGATAAGAGCTGAAAAACTCACCGCTCTGTGGAAAATAAAATGTCTCTTATCTTGGTCATAAGCGGGTGGTCTCAAATTTTTAATCAATGGGCCTAAGTCCTAAATTCTTCAACAAGTGGAGATATCGTTTCCATATACGCCCTCTCTTCACTCCTCAGTGTCTTTTATGTCTAAATCAGGTTACCTCCAAATCTTCTATACTCTAGCAGATACAAGCTTACATCGCCCAACCTTTCATCATAAGACAACATACCCAGTCCCCATTGATAAGTCCAGCAAATGTTCTCTAACCTGTTTTCAATTCATTTATATCCTTACGTAAAAGTACTGTGCATATTACCCCAGTTGTGATCTCTTCATTGCTCTGTTTCACTGGAACATAACCTCCCTTCTTTTCTCTTCAAATCCCCTCACAAGAAACAATAACATTCTAGTCACTTTTACCATAAGACCATGATATGTAGGAGCTGAATTAGGCCAATCAGCCCATTGAGTCTGCTCCGCCATTTGATCATGGCTGATATGTTTCGCAACTCCATTTTCCTGCCTTCTCCCTGTAACCCTTGATCCCCTTCCCAATCAAAAACCTATCTATCTCTGTCTTACATACACTCAATGACTTGGCCTCCACAGCCTTCTGCCACAGTGAGTTCCACAGATTCACCACCCTCTGGCTGAAGGAATTACGCCTAATTTCAGTTCGAAAGGGTTGTCCCTCAGGACCTAGTCTCTCCTACAAGTAGAAACATCTTCTCCATGGAGATTCTATACAGGCCTCTCAGTATTCTGTAAGTTTCAATCAGAGCCCCCCCAGTGCCTTATCCTTCTAACCTCCATTGAGTATAGACCCAGAGTCCTCAATCGCACCTCATATTACAAGCTCCTGTTCTCATCCACACAGGGAGCAAGAATTTCAAGCCTGTTAGATAAGCTCAAGGGCTGAGGCTCTTTCAGCACTACCTTGTGGATCCCTCTACTTGCCTCACTAGCAGTTAGACCCTCCTGCCCCTAACCACTGACCAAATTCGAGGTAGTTAATCTAAAGGGTTGTGGCTGCCTCCTGAAACACAGCGTGCAGATAACTCTCCCCCGTCCCTGCTGTGCCGCAATATTCAAAGCTCAGACTCCAGCTCATCAACTCTGAGCTGGAGTTCCTCAAGCAACCAACACTTGTTACAGATATGGTCACTATGAGCTACAGTGGGATCCACCAGCTCATAGTGATCATTTAGTTACAACACATAACCTGGCCTGGAATCTCTATTTTAATTACTTAGTTCTTAATTTGATTTTTTAAAAATTTGTACTGGTCTTTAAGTTTTTAGCCTGTAAGTATTTCCGCTATTTACACTCAATCTGAAAGTAACCTATAAACATAGTCAAGTCAGTTGGTGTCACTAACCAATGAACTTATGGTTTACCTATAATGTTACTCTTTTGTGCTGGACCCCTGATTCTGGGCTTCAATTTATCCTGTTAACAAAAACTTAAAACCTACGAGCCAAAAAAAAACACAAATACATCTTCCTCTCTGTACTGAATACCCATGTTGCCTCCAAATTTCCCAAACTATATACTCATTCTGGATATGATCTCTCCTTCCTGACTGTGCAAACCTCATTGATCCTAATCACCCATTGTACCTCCATACTAACCTTTTGCAATTTACATACTAGGACATTCAATATCCCTCTGCATCTCAGAGCACTGTAATCTTTAAATATCTAAATAATATATACTTTTTTAAAATTCGTCCAGAAAAATTACATCACTTCAGACTTTACTTAGCAGATCTATACTCAATCCTGTCTGTATTCCTTGCAGGCTCCATATGTTCCCTTCACAACTCACTTTCCTAACTATCTTTGTGTCAGCAGCAAATTTAACTGCCACACTTTTGGCCCCTTCATCCAGATCATTTATATAAATTATAAAGAGTTGAGGCCCCAGCACCAACCCCTGTGGCATACCACTTGTGACATGCTGCCAGCCTGAAAAAGACCTATTTATTCCTACTCAAGAGACAACAAGGTGCAGGGCTGGATGAACACAGCAGGCCAAGCAGCACCTACTGTCTGCTTTCTGTTAGCTAGCCAATTTTCTATCCACGCCAGTACATTTCTGATTAGCTTTAAATTTGACAACAATATTTCTGGTTCCTTCATCCAAATCATTGAAATGAATTGCAAATAAAATAATAACAGTTAACATACATCTCTTGTTGTAAATAGCCTATTGGTCTACTTGGCACAGGATAGATAGTAATATATTTTCATGTCCTAGATTTTTGTTCAAAAATGATTTTAATTTGGTACCTCTTCCCCCATGCAAAATGTATCTGTTTACTTTATTGGAGTTTACTTCAAAAACATAATCATGTGTAAGGGGCGGATTTGTTGCAAGAAATACTGAATGTAATGACCGGACTTCATTGGACAAGGTGTTTCTAGAGTCCTGGCCTGATTGTCTTACTGACCACAGGCAAGAGTGGGAAACGGTAAAAGGAGATTGCAGCAGGACTTAGAAGCCAGTGGGTGGAGGCAATCCCTTGCATGAAGGTGAGAGGAGCAGATCGGGATCTCTTAGTTTTGAGAGGTCAGCCGTAAAGATTAACAGAGCACATGGCTGGAGAGGGCTGTTCTGAGGAAGGGTCACCGGACCCGAAACATTA